CTCAAGTTTCATGGCTGGTTACGTCTTGTATGGTAAAAGGAGAAGCTTTGGAAATGGCATCAAGGAACAAAGGCTTACTTCCTACAGCAGGAGTAGCAGCGAAGCTTACAGAAGTGCACGCAGGAAACTATGTGCCTGTTCCAATAACTAAGCCTGTCGACCATGGGGGTAATTACGAGAATAATGGTAGTGTGTTTTGCTTCCTTCCATTACCCATCCACAGTGGTCTTCCAGTCCATATCAACGGTTGCTTTGCTGTCAGTGACAACAGACGTTATCTACGTGAAAGAACAGAAGAAGACAAGACAGACCAAGGTGCAGTATGGAACGATGTTCTTATGASGGAAGTWGTYTGTCAGACATACATCAGCATGCTGGATGACATGAAAGACTTGTCATCGAGCAATGGATACATATTTYATTCGTTGTGGCCAAGATGCTCTRATGTACAAACAAACTGCCATGGGATCGCTTCCCGATTCTACAGTTCATTATTTTATGAACATCCAGAGCTGTTTTCAGATGGTCATGAATGGACCAGTATGCAGAATGTCGTGTTTTTGGAGCCTGCATTTAGAAGGGTGCAACCGATTGGGCAGGTCGCATTTGACSTATTCAAGACCAGTTTGGAAGGTACAAATACCATTGTAGTTGACCTGCCTGAAGATATATCGAGATCCTTTGGAAGATATGAACTACAAAATGGGATACAAAAGATGTGTTACAACAAAGAACGTTTTTTCAGTGAAGTGTTCTTTCCCTACATTGATTCAATAAACGCAGATTTAAGAAACGAACTCGTTCTCTACGCTYTTGACGACACTTCAGAGGTACTGAGGAAACTCGTTAGAAGCCATCGTTGTATTCCTTCTTCACCATTKGGGCGTCAACTAAAGTACCCTAAAGAACTTCTCAATCCCGGTGGCAAAGCGGCGCAACTGTTCAGCCCTGAAGACGGGAGATTTCCTCATGGAGATAAGTTTACTTCGGAGGAACGTTTAGTGACGTTAAAGAGATTWGGTATGCGAGATGATGACCTTGAGTGGGACGAAGTGATAGAAAGAGCCGAGAGYGTCAAAAGTCTTGTTCCCTACCAAAAAGCTTTAGAAAGAACGAAGATGATTCTTACCTTCATTGATAGGAAACTGGATAACGATCATAAGGTTGACACAGATGTTCAGACGAGACTGCAACGAGTTCAGTTCCTTCCGATAATGAAAAAACCTGAAACCTTCCCTTTCRAATGGAAAGGAGATGATTACGCGACATGCACTTTTCTATCTGCATCAGAACTTTACCCGAAAGCGGTAAAGTATTTGGCCAGCGCAAGTGTACCAATCCTGGATGAGACAAAGGATGGGTGTGGCCAGGTTCCCACAAAAGTTAAAAGATTTTTAGTAATCACGAAGACTTTTCTCAATCAAGTTAAAACACAGATGGAAAATGTGATAGCAACAGCTGAAGCAATGGTTTTAAAAAGCAACAGTACACTCTTCGACGAGGTTAAGACAGCTTTTGAAACATTATATTCTTACTTTCAGACCAGTTTAGAAACAGAAAGAGAGGACGTCGTGAGCTTTTTAAAGCCACTGACTTTTATTCTTGGAGAGAAGCAATTATTTTCATTCAGCAAAGTAGCATTCCGTTCCCAAATTGAATATCCACCATACTTGATCCCAGTGCTCCATAACTATGACCTCAAGTTTGGAGAATTGTTTAAGAGTGTTGGTGTTCGAGAATCCTTTGAAATCGTAGATTACATCAAAGCACTTGAAGAGGTGAAAAATAACTATCAAGAGAATCCA